GCGCATACGCAGTAGTGCTCTTCGGCCAGGAGAAATGGAGAGACACAATGCATGCTGCTGGAAGCATGTAAGCGAACAGACTCCATGGGACACAGAAGACATAGCAGTCAGCGCTGGATCAGAGACCGGCACCAGCGCTGGAGGAACTCCTGAAAACTACAGGAAAGAAGAAAAAGGGTTTTTATTACATTTGTTCATGTGTTCTAGGAGATAAGACCACATATAATTATATCTCGGTCAGGACACTATCTTCATGGGGTTTGCATGCACTCCCTGTGCTTGTGTGGCTTTCCTCTACGTACTCTGGTTTCTTCCCACACTCCAAAGACATGCTGGTAGGTTAATTGGCTCTGGCCTAAATTGACCCTAGTATGTGTATGCATTGGCAACAGTGATCTTAAGTAGGCTATACAGTGCAAATGTCGGACGGTTCTTGATGGACCGGCTGAAATTTGCACAGTGGGTGCCGCTGTTGGAGCCCTTCCACCCACCATCCCTTGATCAGCTGGTCAAAGAAGCAGATTGGAAAGTCTTTGGCCAAACGGATCTAGCAGCCAATCTGCTGCGGCCAGCGGCCGCTGTCAGAATACAATGCAAAGCAGCAGGGGACTCCTCCATTCACACTGGTAAGCGTTGATAGAGGAATCTGTTCATTTTTCTCTGTTCAGCCTGCAGGTTGAACAAAGAAAATATAACTGTATATACCCAGCTTCAGAATGTAAGCTCCTTGAGGGCATATGAATGTACAGTATATAAAGTGCTGCATAAAGTGTTGGTGCTTTATAAATACCTGTAATAAATAACTAGCCAGTATCCAGAATGCATCTCATTTGCACTTTAAATTTTGTTTGTGCATCCTACATTTTGTTTACAGCATGTGTGTATATGTGTGTTGTGTACAGTATATCTGCCAAAACACACATATGTCAACATGGAAAATGGCAAAGCACCTTATCCCCATGTCGATGAGGCCTCTTCCCAACAACCCTGGCCTGATGGTTGTGGGCGGTCTGTGGGCAGGGTAGCTGTTGTTACCCGTACTCATTCACCAAATACAGAAAAATAGTAAATAAACACACCAAAAGAAAGGGATATTTCTGGAGATCTAAGACCATTCAATAGGTTCCTATTTCATATGGTAGTAACCAGTCATCAAGGTTTATTTAACCAATAAACATATAGAAAAATGTATATGTTGTACATAACACTCAACCATACACTCATTCATGCCATGGGCCCCACACATTCTACGGCAATAACAACTTCCTGGGTATCCTTGGGGTGATAATTCCCCCCTTTTTTTCTATAAATAAACACACCACACTGTAAAAAAAATCCTTTATTTGAAAAACAAAAACACAACACAGGTTTTTAACAATTCCATTATTTAAACAAACAAAAAAAATGTCCATCGATGTAAACCACATGTCAATCATGTTGTCCAGCGATACAGATCCACGTCATTCGAGATGGACAACGGACGCCGACTCGCCCCCAAAGAAAATCCTGCCGCCCGCCAACACTGGACGCAAAATGACAGCTCTCCTCCTGAATGCCAACAAAGAGGTGGAGTGAGTTGTGATGTCACGGGACTTGTGTTGCCCATTTGTTTACATTCCATTAGGGGACCCAGAGCTGTCACAGAATGTAAACAAAGGGGCAGAACAAGTCCTGTGATGTCATGCCTTTGTTGACATTTGGGTCAGAGCTGTCATTTTGCGGCCGGTGTTTGGTCGTGACAGCTGGGATTTTTTTATTTCACCGAGTCGGTGGCTGTCGTTCATCATAAATGACGTGGACGACGTGATTGACCTTTGGATTACATTGTGGGACTTTTTTTTTTATTATAAAAAACTTGTCAAAAACCTGTGTTGTGTTTTTATTTTATATATAGGACTTTTTTTTACGTTGCGTTGTGTTTATTTACCATTTTACTGTATTTGGTGAATGAGTAGGGGTAACAACTACCCCTTACTCATTCACAAGGGGGTAGCATCTAAAGGGGGCACCCAGATTCCTATAAGTCCCCCTGCCCACAGACCCCCACAACCACCGGACCAGGGTTGTGGGGAAGAGGCCCTTGTCCTCATCGATATACTGACAAAGTGCTTTGCCAGGGGGTCCCCCCGGCAAAGCACCCTCCCCGTGTGGAGGGCATGTGGCCTGGTATGGTGAAGAGGGGCGAATGCTCACCCCCAACTTTCCTGCTCTTCCAGACTGCTGCTCGAATCAAGGGTCTGGTAAGGTATTTTAGAGGGTCCCCACATTTTTTCTTGTTTTGTTTTTAGACGTTGGGGTCCCCCCTAAAATTCTTACCAGACCTGAAGGGTCTGGTAAGAATTAGGGTGTGAACTCCACACTGTTTTTAAATTATTATTTTTTATATTAACGTTTAGCAACACAACTTTATTCTTCATGACATTTAGAAAAAAATTCGGATGCATCTGAATTTAGTTATCAGAAAATTTGGATACGTTCGGATTTGTTTTTTTCTTTAATTTGGAAATTCGGATGCATCCAAATGTCCAAATATGCTGATGTTCGTCTGAATTTCAATTCCGAATAAATCGCACATATCTTGCACTGATATCCAATAAATGGCTGAAACTTAGGGGCATATTTACAAAGTAGTGAATGTGACTTTATCCAAACATTCACTGGTAGTGAATCACTGTTATTTAAAACACATATATCAGTGAATGCGTGGTACAGTAAATGCCAGATTTACTTCTTTATAAAAAACACCCCTTAATCTTGGCCTAGCTGCCTGCACTTGGGCATATAGTGGGTCCACCCAATATACAGTACATACAAGACAACAACTAACAGGCTTCCTGTACAAAGATCATCTGCTCTCTCACCTACTGATGTGAACTAAACACTATGGAAACATTTTTAACCAAAGCAGACAAACAGCAAACACTGTAGTTCCAACTACTGACACGGCAGTGTAACTTGTCCTGTTGAGTTTGTTCATGTTGACATCTTGCCTAAGCTGATTTTCATTTGTTTGGAAGTAGAATTCAGCAGCACTGCATGTGATGGTCATTGGGAACCCCTTCCAATATCCAGTGCTAGATGTCTTCTTTTTACCCTTTTGGTAAATGGACCTTATCTAAGAATAATAATTGTATTGTAACTGTTAAAGGAGAACTATGGGGTGAGTGATTTACACTCATCCTTATAGTTAGAGCCAACCTGTGACAATGAAGCTGCCACACGTCGGATCTACAGATCGGGAAGTGAGCGAACACCCCCATCATCTCCCTGTAGAGCAGGGGTCGGCAACCCCCGGCACGCGTGCCCGGCTTGGCACGCGAGGCTACATCGGCTAGTCACCGCTCCCCGCAAGGATTCCCCCTCCCCTTCTCTGATCCTTCAGTGCTGACTGGAGGAATGGACAGGGTAGGGGGTGGGCACAGCTGGCTCTGCCTCTGGATAGGCAGAGCCCGCTGTCAATCAGCCAGCTGGGTGGATCTGCACAGTATTGTCGGGATCTGTCCAGGCTGTGGCGCTCTCAGTATATAGTGAGCTATAGCCCGCTACATACTGAGTTTTGGGTCACTGGAGGAGGTTAGTATATGTCCTCCCGTGACCCTAAAGGGAACTATGGGATGAAAAAGGTTACCCCATAGTTCTCTTGGTTTTGGTTGGTTTTTAATAAAAGCAAGTTTTAGCATCTGTAAGAACTCGTAGGACGATCTTTGTGATTAAACCTTAACTTGCTTGATCACTTGAGGTACCATATCATTCAAAATCATACCAGTACCATTACATTAAGTATACTCTCAGCACAGCTTGAGCTCCCTGAGATATTCCAATTGAAGTTATGAGGTGCATAGACACAACCCATCCACATAATGCAATGTACAGTGACCTATCCTTCATGCCTGAGCATTGACCATGCAAATACCAGTTTTGTGCCTAGAAACCAGTGGAGTACTGTATGCATTAAGATATGATTTGGGCTCTTATGGCCCCTGGTAGCTATTTTAGTGATATCATACTCATATTCATTCATACCTGGACACAGTCTGCACCCAGGTGTGGTCTTCCGCAGGTAACCACAGCCTGTGTGATTGCTCGCAGACGCCATGCGAACAGCTGGGGGTGGTGGCAGCTCTCATTGGATTATAGTGTGTCCCCCGCTACCCACGGCAGATCACATGAGTCTTATTCAATCGGCCCCAGGTGTGATTGGGACCAAATGATCCATTCTTTTACCTAGGGAGAAAGGGTTAAATCCTCCCCTAAACAATAGGAAGTAATATATATCAGAATGGGAAGTGTGGCCATGGGTGCCCTAATAATGTATATATAATTGGGGGAATTTATCAAAAATGGAGCAGAGAAAAACTAGAGCAATTGTCCATAGTAGCCAATCAGCTTCTCTCTTCTGTTCATTTAAGGTTTGAAAATGAAAGAGACAAGCTGCTTGGTTGCCATGGGCAGATGCTCCAGTTTTGATATATTCCCCTTAAGGGGGGGATTTCATAAATAAACTAGAGCAGATAAAATCTGGAGCAGTTGCCCATGGCAACCAAGCAGCTTCTGCCTTCAGTTTGTTCAGTAATGCTTTGAAAATCAAACAGAGAAGCTGATTGGTTAATATGGACAACTGCTCCAGAGTCTCTGTACAGGTTTGATCAATTCCCTCCAATGTTCTGATATTTGCTGACTTGAGTAGATTTCTTTGTGTGCTCTCCTCCTGAGAAGCTCAGCCTTGTACCGTGCAGACAATACAGATGTGTAGTGTGCAGTGAGCTGTTTTCACAACTTCTCGTGGACTTTAGCCATCTGGGCAGAGTTAGATGAGGGGGATGGGAAGCAGAACACTGTCACATTTCCTCTTCCACCCCTGGGGCTGAACTGTTGGAAAGAAGCAGCGAGGTGAAAGTGAAAAGTTGTGCAGTGATTGGGTCAGAGTCCGTGCCTGTCACACACCCACATCCTGATTGGTAGAAGTGGGAGGGGGCGTGCCTTCCTGTATAAGAGTGTCACTGTACAAGGACCGTGCTGAGCTGTCCATCCAGCAGAGCGCTCACCTGTCTTTACCTGCTTGCACTCGCCGCACTCATCGCCACCATGACAGACCAGGCCCCCTTTAACACCAATGTCATCACCATGACCAGATTCGTCATGGAAGAAGGCATCAAAGCCAAAGGCACGGGAGAGATGACCCAGCTGCTGAATTCCCTCTGCACTGCTATCAAAGCCATATCTACTGCTGTGCGCAAAGCAGGTCTGGCCAACCTGTGAGTATTGTCACCTATAGGAGATCTGTCATCCTGGATGTCACTGCCATACACTAAACAATCTGATTGCAACTTTATCAAAACTAAGTAATATGAGGACTGACCTAAACAAGCAAATCAATTCAGACAGCCCCTTGTACTTCATAATTGGTTAGATCTAAAGGAGAGTGTACAATCAGATTGTATAGTGCAGGGGGAAGACAGTCGTTGGCACTCCAGATGTTGTGGAACTACATCCCAAAAGGTATTGCAAGACTCTGACAGCCACAGGCATGGCTTCCAGAGGCAGAGAAATGGTGGGATTTGTAGTTTCACCTCAGCTGGTATAGTGCATGGTCAGCCACATACGTTGCAATGTGATTGTACCATCTTCACTAGCTCCAACAGATTCTTGCACTACAGGTATGTAGTGCAAGAATCTGTCTGAATGGATACAGATTGATTGCATAGTTTAGGTAGGTCCTTCTGTTCCATAGTTTTGGTAGATTGTACAGTCAGATTGTAACGTGTGTGTATGTGTTGAGCCTTATAACTACACTGACTACTAATGATGGAATACTTTATTTGTCCTAGATATCAAACGGGGGCTTCTGTTGTTCTATGCGTTGTTAGTGGCCATGATCAGTGTCCCTGGATGAGTTCACACTCTTATTGATACAATGTAGCAGGATCTGGATATCTGCACGATTCACGCCTAAGCATGAGCTTATTCAGAAGATATAGATCAGAGGTGGGCAAACTCCGGCCCTCCAGCTGTTGTGGAACTACAAATCCCAAGAGGCATTGCAAGATTCTCCCAGCCACAGACATGACTCCCAGAGACAGGTGCGTGGTGGAATAGCTGGAGGGCCGGAGCTTGCCCACTCCTGGTTTAAAAGCTTTTTTTTTGCATGCTTGAACTTGCGTTTTTATAGGTGACTTATAGTACATGAGCAAAATCATGCGTTTTTTGGTCCCCAATTAGGTGCGCCTGAAAAACATGTGTAAAGACGTGATTTTCGAAAGTTTTTCAGATGCTCCCGTTAAAGTCTTTGGAGCCACAATTCTGCCCCTAGAGAGGCATTGGAAGCACAGTGGTCTAGTGGTTAGCGCTTCTGCCTTGCAGCACTGGGGGTCCCTGGTAGGGCTGCAACAACTAATCGACATAAACTCTAAATAGAACCTCTATGTATGCATGTGAGATAGGGATCGTAGATTGTAAGCCCCTTGAGGGTAGAGACTGATGTGAATGTGTAACTTTGTGAAGTGCTGCGTAAATTGTCGGCGCTAGATAAATACCTGTAAATTAAATACCCTCTATTCCTCTTCTGCTGGTAACTCAAATATTACATTTCCCCTTACTTACATTACCAGTGACAGATGATCTGGACAACTAGAGGGAGGGGCGGGATTGTCAAAACTGGAGCAGACAGAATCTGGAGCAGTTGTCCATGGCAACCAATCAGCTTCTATCTTCCATTTTCAATGCTTAACTAAAGAGAGAAGCTGATTGGTTACTATGCGACTAAACTGCCCCAGATTTGACGAAGGCGGCAATAAAAACCTGACAGTGGTTCTAATCCCTCACTACTCTATGCAAAGAAAACTTCTTAGTTTTGCCTTTAGATAGACAGATAGATATATAATATAATATATATAAAGAAGAGGTTGCATCGAGCACATAGATACCAAACATGTCAAGCCTCAAAATTGGGTTCAACTGTGAAACAGCAAAACAATTTAGTACCCCAAATTGTCTATAGGCGAGGCTCTAACAGCTCTTACAGGTCATCAGGCATGGGCAACCTCAGCCCTCCAGCTATGCTGAAACTACAAATTCCATCACCAGAGCTTCTGCCTCAGGGAGTCATGCCCATGGATGTCAGAGTCTTGCAATTCCTTATGGAACTTATAGTTCCACAACATCTGGAGGTCCAAAGTTGCCTCAAACTTGACCATCCCTGGTTAAGAGGTAACTTTGAGTAATGGCCCTAGAATTATTCCACCCTGGCTTGTATGATGATACCCTACATGCATGGTACAATTGTTGTTTTCGCACAGAGGTGCATCTGACACATGTGTTTACTTTGCACGCAGGGGCTAGAGGGGCTTTAAATTTTTTTTTTTTTGGAGGGGGTTGTTTATTTGATTTAACTTTTTATTTTTTTACACTTTTTTTAGTTTTACATACTGGCCACTACAGTGTTTTACAGGATCTCCAGTGCCCACTCAGGTGTGACATACATACTTATATTGGGCCCTGCATAATAATTTATACCTGGAGTTCAGCTCACCACCTCTACCCTTTTCAGAGGTAAAGACAGAACTAAATACAGCTTAGTCTTCAAACCTGCCAACACCATACCAGCTCACGCAGCTTGGTAGCCTTTAGGGAACTGGGTGACCTGGAAAGGTGTGAACACATGTGCAAGTACCACTGGGGGATTCTAGGTAGGTGGTGTATAGTTTTTTCAGGGCATGAAGCACTTTTGTACAGTGTTAAACACACAAAATATGTAACTTTTTAAAATGTCTTCCTCCCTGCATGCAAATATGTAAATATAATGGTTGGTTTGCAGGCAGTATGGTAGCACATTGAGGAAGAGAAGAATAGTTTGTTGGCAGGTGGCAGTGTTACAGCATTAGACCTGGCCATGAAGTTTGATATCCTCTGTGTGACATAGTTGGCTAGGAAGGGGGGGTGCAGATACATAGGTGAGCTGGAAAGGTGTTGATAGGTTTTCAGACCGTATATTGGGGTACTCTGACATGGCACACACACACACACACACACATACACACTCACAAAGGATGAACTCAATGGAACTGTGTCTTTATTCAACCACATATACAGTACTGTGCAACTATGTCCAATTGCTCATACAGTAGGTGCAGCTCACAGCAATGGCCTGGGTGTCACTGATACAGAAAGTGTTGGGAAGTCTCCCCAACTGGAACGAAGGCAGTAATAAAATCCTGACAGAGGATCTATCCCTTTCTTATTCTATCCAAAATTAAGGAAAGCCTTGGCTGGAGTTTTACAGTAAACCTTTTTATTTATCAGAGTTCCCCAGCAAAGTGGACCATTGGGCACCCAGCCAAAGTGTATGTAGCTTTGCCAGGGTTTGGAAATGAATAAAATGGGTGTGACTGCAAATGTGACTTGTTACAGAGTATTGCCAAATCAGAAATGCTTTTTGTTGCACAATAATGCCATTCTGTACAATGCATGGCTTGTTTGTCTCTACGAATCGTCTAACAATGAATCGTCTAAGAAAGAGTACTGTAGTTGTTCAGGACTAAGTTGTGTGAGCTTTGACGCCTGTTGTAAATAATTCCATGTCTAGTGAGAATCCTAATACATCTGCCGGTACATCTTCTGACCTTACTTCCTGTAGAAGTGTGGCTGTTACATGATGCAACACAATTTACAGAAAAGTTAGCTCTGCTTTTGCGGAACTGGCATTGCTAAATGATTTCATGCAAGAAACCTCAGTACACTTAATTCATTTATAGGAGGGAAGATACAGTATTTCCAAAGGGTGACTGATGGGGAGAGATCTGGGTTTGCTCAATGTGGGCCTTCACCCTCCCCACTCACCTTCTCTCATTGCACTATTACCCCCATCCTCCTTACCCCCCTTTTATTTTTATTAGGGATGCACCGATACCGATACTAGTATCGGTATCAGTGCCGATACAGAGTATTTGGGTGAGTACTCGTACTCGCCCAAATGCTCCGATACCTAGCACGAGTACTTCCTGTATCAGGAAGCCGGGCAGCTCGTCATTACACGCTGCCCGGTTTCCTTATTGGCCGGGAAACTGCTCCATGCTCTCTCGTCACTTGTGATGAGAGAGCATGGAGCCGACTTCCCAGCAAATCAGGAAGCCGGGTAGCGTGTAATGACGCGCTGCCCAGCTTCCCGATTGGTCAGAACGCTAGCCAATCCGGGTGCCGTGTAATGACGCAGCGCCCGGCATCCTGATTGGCTGGGAAGCCGGCATCATGCTCCCTCGTCATCTCATGAATCATAATATTAAGAAACTGACCTAAAATCATTAGTTTGTATTGCTTTAGAAAAAATGTGACCTTGTCCTTTAAGAAAAAGTATTGGTAATTGGCATCGGCGAGTACTTGATCAAAAGTATCGGTACTCGTACTCGGTCTTAAAAAAGTGGTATCGGTGCATCCCTAATTTTTATTTTCAAATACCTTTTTTTGGGGACCCCTCCCAGCACTCGTGGCATTCTCACCTAGGTCAGAATGATGTCCCAGTCACCCTATTCCTACAATATGCATCCCAGGAGGCCTTGGGGTGCTCTACAGCGCATGCACTGCTGCGTGTCATCTCTTTCTGGCTCTTGCAGCCTGCACACTGATAATGCTCCACGGCATATGGGCGTCATCAGGGGGCTGACTGCAAGAAACTAGAAGAGACAGCTGGCCTCCTGATGATGTAAGTAAAGGAGATGGCAGTATGGGAATAGTCGTGCTGGATTCACTGGACATGTGTGTATGCGTTTTGAGGATAACCCAGCTATAACCTAGCAAACAAGGTAGGGAAGGATTAAAAAAAACAAGATATTAGAATGACAGGACTTGCCATGGTACTAGGCTGGATTTTCCCCTCTCCCCACTTCCACACTGGTCTGCACTCATGTTGTGTCGAGCCTGAGCATGCTTCCTATACTTACATTGTGCCGGACCAGAACATGCTTATGTCCCCTTTGGCGGGGGGTGGGGGCATTGGATGGTGCACAATCAATGGTGGTGGGGGGGTGTTGGTGGAGAGTGATGGTGCTAAGTGCCAGGTGGGGAGATGTGTAAGGGCTCTGCATCTCCTTACGCACCTCTCAGCAACCTGGGATGCTCTGGCCGGCATCTCACTGAATCCCATTGGCAACCAGTGATGCCAGAAGCTCGGCTGGTGCAGGCAAGAGTGTCTCAGGCTGCTAAGAGCTGAGCAGAGAGATGTGTATGGCCCTTACACATCTCCCTGCCCGGCTCTTAGCAACCTGGCACACTCTGGCAGGAAAGGGGGAGGCAGTGCAATATGATAGTCGGAACAAGAGCTATTAAAATCTATTGATGTTTACTTTATTTATTTAACTTTCTGAAAAGAACGTGACATTTATCAGTATCACATTTTGCTTTTTATCAGACAGACTTTTAAGAACTTACTATCTCTACAGCCAGCAACATACCATTTGCCAGAGGATGGTTGTAGGCAAGGGGTAGGCAACCTGCTGTAGTAAAACTACAAATCCCATCATGCTTCTTAGAGTCACGCCTGTGGATGTCGGGGTCTTGCAGAGGCTCATGGGACTTGTAGTTCTGCAACAGCTGGAGGGCTGAGGTTGCCTACCCCTGAAGTTTCACTTTGGAAATTCACTTTGGAAAGAGTACCCATCATACAGTATGTAAGGAACATTTAAAAAGACGGGATTTTTGTTCACATATGATTCATCATTCACTAAGCTAAGTTAATTTTCTCTCAGCATTGTAACAGGGTGACTTCAATCAACTTATTAGGTGGAAGCAAAATGGTGTTTTTTTTTACATTTTTTGCGCACATTTGTATGTGGGTTTTAACGCGCGTACATGGAGACGCGTGTTTTGATTGGCAGCTCATAAAACATTGTGGGCAATGGAACAACGCGCATATAAACGTGCAAAATCGCTCACGAGAATGTGCAACATGCTTCTGCCACGCATTTTTGGCCATTTCCAATGCAGTCTATGGGGCAAAAAAGAAGCACCTGTACCTTTTTCAGACATTAGGCGTTTTTATGCTGGCGTTGTTCTGCTCAGGTGTGAACCAGGGCCATTGAAAATCATGGGATTTCTTGTGTTGGGCATTTAAAAGCGCTTTCCGAACTGCTCAAAAACTCCTTGGTGTGAACCAGGGCTAAGATAGTAAAAATTCTATTTGAAAGTGAATATGCTGTACTCCTGTAGTAAATCATCCCCACTATGTTTTGTTTTGTTTTATCATGCAGTGTATCATTGCAGTCTTCATTTTAAAATAACCATTGTTAAAGGGATGAATCTACAATTGTATGTATCATGTCTATATGATCGGGTATAGTTAAATGTATTGTTACCTGAACAGGTTATCCATGGTTGGCTGAATATCCTGTTCTGCAATGTGTGCACTGAAAGATATGGTCAGGGGTGTGTCCCTGCTTAGCCAAACAACAATATTTCCTCTCCTCCTTGTTTTTATTGGAAATGTAATTTCCTAGTGGCCAATGAACCTAAAATGAAATAAACTAGGGCAGAAGCTGCATGGCGGTGAACTGGGATCTGTAGTTCCACAACCCTTTTCTGCTGTAATTGGTAAACTGGGATCTGTAGTTCCACAACCCTTTTCTGCTGTAATTTTAATAGCAGAAAGCATTACTTTCTTTTAAAGTGCACTTATCCTTTAACATCAGCAACCTCATTGAAACACAGAAGGGTATAGATCAGGGGTAGGCAACCTTGGCTCTCCAGCTGTGCTGAAACTACAAATCCCATCATGCTCCTGCCTCTGGGAGTCATGCCTGTGGCTTGCAATGCCTTATGGGATTTGTAGTTTCAGCACAGCTGGAGAGCCAAGGTTGCCTACCCCTGGTATAGATGAACCACCCCAGATAGGACCAGGTACCAACACATGGAAAGAAGGGAAATCTATTCAAATAAACTACATCTTTAAAAACCTGAGATGTTTTATCCATTCTACGCGCATTCCAAAAAAAACAAAAATGTTAAGAGTTAAACTTATAGTAGCCAAAATGTCATAAATACCATACTTACCAACAGTTATTATTGTCAGAAATAATGGTTCTCACACTGGGTATTTTCTCATAGATACGGCATTGCTGGGTCCACCAATGTGACAGGAGACCAGGTGAAGAAGCTGGATGTTCTCTCAAATGATTTGGTTGTCAACATGCTAAAATCATCATTTAGTACCTGTGTCCTTGTGTCAGAAGAAGACGAGCATGCACTCATTGTGGAGCCTGAGCATAGGGTACGTGTAATAGGGTAACTTTAGTATGCTTTTCTTATATCCTTAGAACATGTACTGTATGCAGTAAGGCCAGCTATTCAATAACTAGACATCTTTTGTTAGCTAAATGTTTGTATTTGTGAATTGTGTAAACTGCTTTTCTGCTCTTTAGCTTTAAAAACATTATTGGATATATTTAAAAATATTATCATTAACTCTTCTGCATAAATAATTTGATTTGCACATAACATATAGAGGTCGAAGGGGTAGAGTTGTGCTCAGCGGACAGCCTTTTTCCTGGTTTAAAATAGCTGTCACCAGCTCTACTACAGTGCCCTCTAGTGTTTGAATATGTTAGTAAATTCTCTCCTAATTTCCAGAAATTAACAGGGTTTTTCACAAAAGGGTGAAGAGTTTGGAGAAGGCAGGAGAAGTGAACAATCTAGGACAGTGGTGGCGAACCTTGGCACTCCAGCTGTGCCAAAACTACAAATCCCAAGATGCATCTGCCTCTGTGAGTTATGTATGTGGCTGTCAGAGCCTTGCAATGCCTCATGGGACTTGTAGTTCCAAAACACCTGGAGTGCCAAGGTTCGCCACCACTGATCTAGGACAACATAGCTGAACTGGAAAGTGAGCTGAATTGGAGAATTGTTACAAATCGGCTACTATATGTTGGCCTAGATTGTTCACTTCTCCAAACTCTTCACCCTTTTGTGAATAATCCTGTAAGTGAAAGATACACATAGCAAATAGTTTACAAATATTCAGAAGCCACGTAAACATAGAAATCATAGCATAGGAAAAAAACATAAACCATAGGAGCTCATTAATGGGGGTTTTTTTGTTCTATATCTGCTTCAGTTTCCTTTGTAACTACTATAAAAACAGTTCTTTCTACTGTATAAAAAATATTTGTATTACAAGCATCACATGGTCTTTTAAGATTCTAAAGAAGTAACTCCTGCAGTTACTATCAATTTTGGTGCATGATTTATTTTTACAATTACTTGCTGAGCTGCAAATCGAAAGAAAACCCCCCAAACCTTAGCAATAAAATGGTTATATATTCATCGTGACTACTAGGTTAGGCTTGTGGATTTGCTGATTGTACATAAAATACCTAATTATGATAGTGTAATTTGTTAGATATGAAGCTATAAATAATCTTTAATATGTGTTTCAGGGTAAATACATTGTGTGCTTTGATCCTTTGGATGGTTCTTCGAACATTGACTGTCTTGCATCCATTGGCACAATCTTTGCCATATATAGAAAGGTAAGGATTTTCCAGAGGTATGATCCCAGCAATGGCTAGGGATATACAGGTATGAAGAAGTAGGACATGTGGTGGATATCACCTTTCCTTTCAATAGCTAAAGTCTACAGCAAATTTTCACGTTTTTGTGTGGAACCTGATATTCATTATCATACCATTACATTACTGTTTCTTTGCCTTCACTGTAAACATCATGATAATTTTGACAGTTTAACGCAACAGAGACTTGTTAAACTCTTACCTTGAACAATTTTCTCACCTACCTGTCTTGGGTAGGTGAGAGAATTTAGGCGGTTGAGATGACATTCTATATACCAGTAGTTAACGATTTGTATGAGATAATAGGCCTATATACTCTCATCCTTTTCATCGTTTGGTTCACTTATTAGGCAAATGGATTTTGTTGGGGTGGGAAAGGGGGGGGGG